CACACACACACACACACACACACACACACACACACACACACACACACTCTCACACACACTCACACACACACACACTCTCACACACTCATGGATTCTTCAAGCAAAGGCTTCACAACTGTGAGAGCACCACTGGAGAGTGTTCTAGCACCAGAATGAAAAACTTGGTTGTCTTCCCTCTTCAGCAATAAAATCCAAAGTCTTTATATTGCTTTGGACAAGGTCACCAAACACCCCTCCAGGAACAGTTTCAGATGCAGAAGTGCAGTGACAGGTCAGAGTGTTCCTGTTCTGGAATAGGGGTGGGAAGAGGAGTGTTGAGAGGCTGCAGCTCCTTGGTTGCTGGAAAGGAGGAGAAGGTTTCTATTGCAATCTGGTCGAGACAGAGAGCAACTTGGATCCAGGTGGGTGTGATGGTAAAACCCAGAGCAGGCTGGGAGGCGAAGGTGGGAAGTTTGCATACGTGGAGTCACAGTGCACATCTGTTGGTGTGACAAAGACAAGCACAGCCACAGCATTTTCTGGCAGCTTGTCTCTGTACAGGAGGCCCCTCGGGTAGGACAAGGATCCGTGAATGAGATGTCACACACTGCACCAGGACATCACAAAACCCAAACAGCAGAGGTTTAAATAGAAGCTTGGAAGTTGGTCTGCTAGCATCTTGCCTATACACATGCTCAAGTGAGCCTGCAGAAGTCTATAAAAGGGGACAAAGATCTTTTTACAGCAAGGTTATGGGTCCAGTTTGGCTACAAGGAACAATTCATGCAAGTTACAATAGAATCCATCATCAGCCCACAGCACATCTTCCTGCTGCAGGTCTGTCCTGGTTCCAGGGCTTTGTGTGGGAGGTGCTGCAGCTCCCAGAGGGGGCTGGGAGAGATGCAGAGTCAGGAGTGGCATCTCCTCAGCCTCTCAGATCAGCACGTGTGGGTGAGTCTGTGCTCCAGCTGTGCCAGGCAGAGCAGGAGGAGCAGATCTCCCTGCAGGCAGAGTGGGAGCAGCAGCTGGAAGTGGGCTGCTGAAACTATGCAGGGAGACGTGGAAAAGACAAAGAGAGACTTAAATTTTTCAGTGCTTGAATCAGCAGCAGTAAAGCCCCATTGAAGCTGTCATATGCATGCTGATGAGTCTGGCTATGACTCCAATGATGTACTAAGTGAGGCTGTGGTGGGGACTTGATCAAAACACAGAAGAAAAAAACTGAGGTGAAAGGAAGGTGTGAATTCCAGGTTCAGAGCAGAGAATGGTCAGCACTGATAGACTTTGTTCTCTGCACATGCAAGAGCACAAGAGAGGGAACAGCAGCAAACCGAAAGGGAGGGAAAGACACAGTAAGCCCAACACTAATTCAAGATGCAAACACGGGACAGTGGGGTGGGGGAGAGAAATTTGAGGTAAAGGAGCCCAAGGGAAGAGACAACAGAAAAACTCTTAATAGAGCAAGTCCTGCTTCAAGAAATACACAGCTAACGCCAGTCAGCTCTCTTCTCACCAGGTATTCTTGACACACTGGTAAATCTTCTCTTTGCACTTGGTATTTATACATCAAAACATGAAGACATTTTTTTTCCCCTAGGATGCACTAAATGATTTTGAGTGTTCTGCACAATACTCTAAATGGCCCCTGAATTCCGAGCAATGCTGAAGACTCACCCAAAAGCAGAAATGCCAAATGATAAACTGCTTTTAGAAATCAAGGGTTATTTCCCCTGGGTTAGAAACAAAGAATCTATCCAGAAGGCTGAACTGCACAGGTTTGGCATTTTTCACTGAGAGCACCCGGGCATTTAACTAAGAAATATCTGAAATAGTTACTAAGCAAATCCCAACATCAGACTGAGGCATCAGGTTTGTGGATAGATGTGTACAATCAGACAGCCCCTCACCCACCTCTGACAGAACAGGTTTGTGCGATTTACAGCAAGAACAAGCTCTGCCACCCACTGCTCCAGAGAAAACACCAGCAGAGCTGGGAGCTGAAGCCCTTTGACTGGGGTGCAAATCACAGCGGGATCCTTTCTTCTTACAGACTTCACTGGAACAGAATTAATGCCTCCTGGGTAAAGCAAAGCACATCCTCGTTCTGCTGCAGCCCCCCCAGGATGTCTGTGTGGGGGCTGTGCAGCACAGTGTGGCTGCAGGGATAGACAGACAGCAGGACAGAACCAGCATGACCAGAAGGAGAACTGGTCAAAGTGGCCTCAGGGCCAGGTCCAGGTGGAAGAACATGGACATCTAAGATGCAAGAACATGACAGAGCAGCCAAGGTCACCCACGTGCTTAGGCAAGCTTAAGGCAACTAAAGAAAATTCACTGATAGTTTAGAGGAGAGTGCCAAAGGGAAGAGAGAAGAGGAACCAGCGAGCAGAGGCTGAGGATGCTGCTACAGTAGCCAAAGCCCAGCACCAGCTACTAAGCCATCCCTCTTCTTCAGCTCATTTGCTCTAATTCTCCTCATTTTACCAGCACCATCAGCACGAGGTCAATATGTCAGAAAGAAGAGCTGGGATAGGTTCCTAAAAACGTAGCTCACACATTTTCAGGCTTGTGTCTCAGGTCAGTTCTTTTGAAATAAAAGTGTGTGGGCCGTTTAACAGGCCTCCTGCTTTTAACTGGAGCTTTCTGCCACCTCCAGGGGCAATCCTGGGATATGTTCTACCTGGAAGCGATGGTAGCAGCTACCCAGGTTCCTTGTCATGAGTGTTGGGTGTACAGTAGTTCTTTAAAAACCAGCATGCACCAGTGGCATGGCCATTAGTCATGAAGCCATGGTTGAATTCCTGTTGTCTCCTCAGGACCAGGTGGACCCAGAAGGACAGGGAGTGTTGGCCCAGCTCAGCGCAGGCTCCGGTAGACGTAGGCTGACGTGAACACAGCGTTGAGGGTCAGGCTCACAGCCAGCAGGCCCCGGAGAGCAGAGGTACCAAAGTGACCTTAGAGGAGGGGGACACAGGGAAAAAAGGGAATAGCAGAAAGAGGTATTAAAGAACTGATGAGAACAGTGAACACAGGCTGTACTGCTTCTCTCTCTTTGACCAGTGTTTTCACCATAAGCAGAAGTTACTGAAGGACTTGTCCTGTCAGGGAAGATTCCTCTGCTCTCTTTGGCTCTATTCTCAATCTCATCGCTGTTCTTGACACCTGCATCCCCACCCCTTTTCCTCTGTCTCAGTTTAGCACTCTGTCACTGCTCTTCAGACAGTCCAAAGAACAGGGACAGCCTTGTTAAGGTCTTAGAATGGCAGGCACAAGTTCCATTTTGCTACTACTTATTTATTTGATCTGAAGATCAGGTCACTGCAGCACAGGAAAGATCTCAGTTACCCTCACAAAAATGCTCACACGTGCAGGAAACACTCACATGACTTGCACTTACCTCTCCAGCCTGCCAAATCCTCCCCTTTGGTGGTTGTGTCTACCACACAGGTAGATGAGTGTGATGAGTGATCCTCCTTTTTGATGGAATTATCACTGCAAATACTCCCTCCTTCCATAGCAGATCTCACATCTGCAAGGAAAAGAGAAAGGAAAATTTAAAAGGCACTAGTAGAAGCCAAAAGTAGCAAAAGCTACCAGACTACAGCTAGACATGAGGAATGGATGGTTGCCTGGTAAATTTATGGACAGGAACTGGAAGGAAAAGGCAAATTTCAGTGCTGAGCAGCAGAACTGCCTGCATGTGTCTCATACACTGCCCTGAGCAGCACCACCTCCCCCGTGGCTAAAGGAGCTCTCCAAACCAGGGTAAAGGTGGTGGCAGCAGCATTCCTGGGCATCACCAGGGAGAAAAGGACATCTACTTGGGCAGCCAAGAGGCTCCTCAGGCCAGTGGATTCTGAAGGGAGTTTGGTAGCCCACCACCACCATCACACGGGTTTCTCTTGAAGGTTTCCCATCTAACTGTGGCCTAGATGTTGCAGGGCTGGGCTTGCAAGCCAACTCCTTCCTCCCAGTGCCCTCCCAGGAGTGCAGGAGGCTGCCAGCATACCGGGCATTCCCCGCTCACTGAGGCTCTTCCTCGGGAAGCTGGACAGCTCGGGGGCAAAGATGTTGCTGTCTGAGTGGGTGTGCTCCTCTGAGCTGGTTGGGGTGAGCAGGGCCTCATTCTGGGATGGGAACAGCAGCAGCTTCTGTCCTTTCAGGTTCAGGCGGGCAGGGCTGATGAGGGGCCGGCGGAACCGCAGGGATCCCGAGCTGGAAGTCACAGATCCGGCCACGGATGGTGCTGGGGAGGGGATGCGGGAGGGAGCACAGCTGCCGGACAGCAGGGAGAAGTGCTCTGAAATGGAGACATCCCCAGAGGGGAAACCATGAGATTATCACCCAAATACAACAGGCACAGTTTTCTTTAACAGTTCTACAAGAAAAAGGAATGGGAGTTAGAAACATCCAACGTATCTTGTACTGAAATTCTTTATTTGAGTTCCCACACTGAGAAACACAGAGAAACCTGAGATGAGCTCAGCTGGTCAGAGCATGGTGCTGATAACAACAAGGCTGTGGGTTTGATCCTTGTATGGGCCATTCACTTAAGAGCTGGACTTTCTGATCCTTGTGGGTTCCTTCCAACTCAGAGCATCCTGTGGAATTCCACGTGCACTTTAGTACACTCAGGAATGGCTCAGGAATTGGGTTACCAGGAGCCTGGTGAGCTTTCTCTTTGCTCCCTTGTGTCCATCCAGGAGAGCCTCCATTACACATTTTGCAGGTAAATGGTTTGCTCTGGCATGTCCTTCAAAGGCTGTTGGGAAGGTGCACAGGGATGTGAGGAGGTTTGCACAACTGGCCCAGGCTGTCACCGCATTTCCAGCAGCAAAACCAGCCAAGGGATCCATCTGGGTCAGAGGGGCAACACACAGATCATGGGGACATGGGAGCAAAAGGGCAGAGCAGCCAGGGCAGCCAAATTAGCAGTTCCTGGGGCTGGGAAAGCACAATAAAAAAGCTGCCCTAGGAACAATTGAAGTCTCCTATCAAAGCAGGCTCAACTCAGCTCTAAGCAGGGAAGGGCTCCTTGTTCTGTCTCACTGTGAGCTCTCCCGGGGAGAAGGACATCCAACACATACAGCACCTGATTTTAATGCAATCCCACTCAGCTGGGGCTCTCCCTGCAGCATTTCTAACAGCACAATTGACATTTTCACTGGGATGGGAGCAGGGAGGAAAGAATTCAGCCACATGCCTCAAGCCACTCACTGCAAATCCTGCAGAGAGTTGGCCTGGCAGGCCCAGTGCAGTACCTGATGTCGGAGATTCCTTGGACTGAGAGGACTGTGAGGCAGGTCGACTTCCACTGAACAAGTAGCCAGAATCTAAAAGCAAAAATGAAACAATCTGAAGGCAGCTGGCTCAGCTGCTGGAGGTCTGTCCTCCAGAAATGCAACTGCATCGTCTCACAAGGGGACAGGTGGGAAATGCAGGCAGGAAAAATGTCCCTGCTTTCCTGGGTTGGCTTTATGGCAGCAGCAGAATAATCCACTTCTCCCAGCTGCAGCAGAACAGATCTGTCCAGGCTCTAAATTACACATCTCTCCCCAAAATATCTGAAGCAGCACATTTGCCAGTGGACTCTGGCACTGCAGAACTGGCTTATAATGATTTATCTCATGTTGCACAGGAGTAGATGACAAACATGAACACAGTTTGTGAAGGTTATAACAGAAGGATGGGGCAGCTTCCAAAGGTGGTGACTTCTTCACCTGCTCCTAGCAAAGCTGCTACATGACTTCTAAATACAGCATCAAATTCAGATTATCTGCCCTGTGACTATATCACAGCCTGGTTTGCCACTACTTAAAAAGGAAGAAGGTGAAGATATGGTTATATCCTTTCCTTATGAAAAGATGGATGCTGAGATGAATTCCCATCTAACTGACAGGTTTATTATGGTATGGTAGCCATACTAAATGAAAATAAAAATAAATAAAAGCAAAGACAGGGAAAAACCCCCAAACCATGAGAAGTACTCCTGTCAGGCAGAAGTGCTACAAATAAAACATGGCAGCTTAAATAAATTGTTTTTCTTAGGCACTTAATTTACAGAACTATTGGCAAACAGCTTTGGAAGCTGAAAACCTTGATGTTTGGAAAAACCCTTCAGCCCCAACAGCCTGTTTTCTCCAGACTGTCTGGTTTTGCACCTCAGTAAATAAAACCCAGACACCCATCCCAGCTGTCTGGAGCACTTGCACCTGCCCTTCCAGGGCACTCAGGGAGCTGGGAGGGTTCAGGCTGTGCCAAAAGCTGCCACACTGCTGGAAGGTTTGTGTGGCTGGTCCTTGTCCTGCTCTCATTAGATCTGGCAAAACTGCTGGCAGGGTGAGTTAGAGAAATGTGGAATGAACTACAAAATCCGTGCAGGACTGCAATGCTGTCCTAGAAAACTGCCACATTTTGGCCTCTGACTTTCTGGCAATCAGAGACACAGCAAAGCTTGGTTCTTCTTGCATGGAGAGGTGCATTGGAACACTATTGCCCATCTGTTGGGTTCGAGTACAGCAGAACAGAGGGGTTACTGAGTTACTGGGAGAGAGGCTTTCCTTAGGCCTATAAATCTTCCCTGGATCACACAAAGCCCTTAAAACCAGGAGGATATGGGGTCCCTGAAGCAGCTTCAATAGTGTTGCTAATGCAAATCAACTCCAGACCGAGGGCAGGGCCTGCCTTCACCTCTGCTCCTTCAGCTGGAGCAAGAGAAGCAAAGTAACAGAGCAGCTCGAAGGGAGGGATAGTTCCTGCCAGATCAGTTATCCCAGTGCTCCAATCCCTTCCCAAGCTGCTCTTCTCCATTCCCATGGCTAACTGCCCCTTCTGCCTCTTTCCCACACATAACCTTGTGGATTGTGTCATCCTGACTCAACTGCCTGGAGAAGCCCCTGGATTTCAGTTAACCCACAGCGGGCAAGTGCTCAGGGAGGCTTCTGCTTCCCCAGGATGGCAATGGCCTGCTGTGAAATAATGCCAAAACCCAAATTCCTAATGCTGGAGACTCCTCTGTGCCACAAGAGCAGCCATCTCTAAACAGGACTGTGAGGTGTGGATGCCTCACAGCCCATTTCCTTCTGACTGCACCACTCCATTGCCTTTCCCACTGGGACAGTTTCCTGCCCACTCACCTGCCCTGGCCAAGGAGGGGATGGTCCCCAGTGACAGGGCCCTGTTGAGACGTCCAGGGAGGGAGGATGAAGAAGTTCTGCGTGGGGACCTGAAGAGCTGTTGGTTTGTCAGGTGGAGGAGACTGGGTGGTGTTGGGACAAAGAGAGACGTGGCAGGTGAAGGGAAGGCTGTCCCAGTGCCATTGGGAAAGAGAGTCATGGAATCCCCAGAGAGGTACCTGCAAAGGACACACATGACAGACATTTAGCAAGGAGAAGTTCCAGTCACTGCCTCTCTCAGTTGTCGTTGCATGAACACTTGTTTTGTTACCAGCTTTGGACTGACTTTTCAGTGCAGGAGTGCAAGATGCAGAATGCTGAAGAGTTCACAGGAATGTTCCCACACTTTGAAGCTGGGAAAGGAAGAACTGCTCAGCCTGACTCGAATTATTGTGCACCAACCTGTCCCACAGTACAGGGTGGAAAAGGTGGTGGAACAGTTTAGGAACTCAGGTGCAGATAGGCACAGTACCTTGGATCTCTCCCTGGATGAGAAAATTACCTAGAGACACCAGAATGCTTTAAAAAATCCAGGTACACAGAGCACATCTTATGTCTGCTATGTGCACATGCCAACTGCATGCTTAGACATGTCATGGCTGTGGGAAGCAAGTAGTTATGTACTATTTTTTTTGTCCTTAGAAAGCAGAATTAACATCTTACCTCTGATGTCAGCATAGAGAAAAGGATTTTTAGTGGGTACCTGGACGGAGATTTCAGCACAAGAGCTCTGTTTTAAAACCAACATTCAGACCTCCTTAACACATTTGCCTTTATTTATACTTCTGTCAGGTAATAAAGACTCACTACCTTCATTTTACAGATGAGAAAATCCTAAAGTGAGGCCTAAACCACTACATTTAGTTTCTCTGCCCCAAGTATGTACTCGCACAGCCACTCCAGGGAGCTGTGCCCCTGCAGCACACACTCCAGGAAGTGTCTGGCTCCTAGTGCCTAAAACCCAATCTCTGTTACAGTGCCTGGAAAGAATTTAAATTGAAAATAATAATGGCAATTGTATTTCTAGGGTCTGCGAGTTGTTTTCAATGGGTTCTTTCCAAGTGAAAGAGTGGGAGCTGCAGAACAGAGCGAGCAGGCTGAGAATACAAGAGGAGAGAGAACAGACAAAACATACCTGTACCAGTTATTGATTTTTGAGTGCTACAGACATAAACTGACCTCTACTCTCTGGTAAAATAACTGTATGAGAGGACTTTGTATTCTAATTGTTTTCACTGCTTGTACTACCACACTCAGTTACTATATGCAAACAAACTATGCAATTAATTTCCGACCCCCGTCTCATCACCTAACTTTGCAGTGGTTTGAAATTTAAAAATCAACCTGAGCTGAACAATCTGTTAAAAACTTACTGCTATTTTTACCTGCTTTCTATTCCTCCTTGCAATCATGTACTGATCTTAGTCTTTGTGTACAGTTTAGTTGACTACATCACCTCAGAAACGAGGAGTCAGCTTTGGAGTCTCACTTGTGTCCTCAAACCATCCAAATGAGTATTCCACAAAGGTTGCAGTGCTGAAAGTATGGCAATTTTGTACTGTTTTTAACAGTGGCATGAAAATACAAGAAAGAAAGTCTAGAATAGGGAGTAGATCTCTGATCTCCTGTAAGAGTTTTGTTTTGTTAGAAGCAGGTAGTATAATTGTCAGAGAAATCATGATGAAGAACTAACATATATTTTTAAATGGAAATAAAATTAGGCTGCAATATTTGGAGGCTTAATCTCACTTCTGATGGAAACAGATGAGACAGATGAGAGCAGCAACATGGCTTTTCTTCTGTCAGAGGGAAGCCAGGAGTAAATCAGAGCATGAAGGAATATACATATCTCAGCCTTGTGCTGTGAGGTGATTTATGGACCTTCCATTCTGCCTCAGAGATTAAAGAGCTGGTGCAGCAATATCATGCTGTGCTAAAACGTCCAGAAGAAGCAGTCTAGAATTAAGATTACAATTTAAAATATCTTATAAAACCACTTATGTGCTCGTATGAGGCAGACATAACAATCCTGACCAGCTTAATCAGGCTGAACAACATCTTGGAAGCAGGACTTGCCTCTAACAGCAGCAAGGGACTCCTCAGTCTTGCAGCAGAAACTGCCCAACCTCTTCAGGTTCCAGGATCTGGGAAGGGTGTTGTGCTTCCCTTTAGTGCACTCACACATCCACATCTGCCCCATAACACACATACACACACACAGAGATGTACGTGTCCATCTCAGCTTTGTAAGGGAAAATGAGTGGGAAAGGGGATTGGAAGTGCAGCTCAGGACTATGATATGAATCACAGGAGAAAGAGTGATACCTACCACTCACTGTGCCATGGCTGGGAAGGGCCAAATCAGAGCATCCCCTTGAACAATGCAGCTCTTTTGTCCTAACTTTGCACCTTCTGTGTCTTTGGGCTAAAGGACCCAACTTTACACAGCTCCTTGCTGCAGCAGTTTTTCATTCAGCAGGCTGGAAGATATTACAGTGATTTATCACCCATAACCACAATCTCTCTCTCTCACAGTCCTGGGATTGTAACTGTTTTGGAGCAGTCTTCCAATGGCTCTGCTGCTCAACAGCCCCCCTTCTCAACCTCACCAAGTTGTGCAGTCAGATCCTCGGGGCAGCTGAGGAATCACTTGCCTTGCACCATCCAGAAAAAGAAGTTTTCTGGTTGGCAAAGAGGAGCTGAAGAATTTTAAGCATAGCACATTAAGGCCTTAGGATTGAATGCTGATCAAAGACTGGCTTAAATATTGATCTGTTCTGAACAAATTCCTGCAAAGTGTGCAAAATCCTGTTCCTTTTCCCTGCACTCTTCTCCTCAGTGTTTACCACTGCCATGTCAAGAGGGCCTGATGCTGCTAAAAGCTGACCTGGGAATGTGCTTCATGCCTGAGAATAGGCAGCTGAACTAAAACTTCTTTCAGAAGCAGATGAAAAAAGGTGAGGAGATCAAGAGGATCATAAGGCAGGAAGCAACCACATCCCAGCCTTGGAATGGAGCACTACAGCTGTGCCTTAGCTCCAAGCCATTTGTGCATGTGATAATAATGGGGCTGGTAACAGTGAAAAAAGTAACAAAAAGGCTCTGGAGTCAGACAGTTCGTGGAAATAGTCAGGGCCCGGAAGCCGTTTATTTCAGAACTTGATATTGTGAACATCAAAAATTGGGCATCTTAATTAGTGTTTACAATGATCACAGCGTTACTAGACAGTTGGGCACAACTCTGCTACACAGATACTTTAAAAATAAATAAATAGAAGGTTAAATAAGAGTATTACACTGTATGGGACTGTACACGGTCCTGAAGAGACACCTCCTGCCAGCAGAGCCTCCCCTCCTCTGTCCCAACACCTCCCTCTTATCCAAAGACATCACCTATGTGTGTGCCTATTTAATTCACATTTTAACCAGAGATGCTGCATCCTGGGACAGAGAGAGACATGGGAGGGCATGGGGCAGGTCAGACTACAGGGCTGGATGGACCCACTCCTGTGCCAGGGAATTCAGTCCATGAAGGAGGAAGGTAAGATGCAGTCACAGGCAGGCAGCTCGTGGTGTTTGCCCAGGTTCACCTGCCCGGGGCAGTCAGGGGATAAAATGTTAACTCTGGACTTAATGTGCCATCACAACTGAGCTGTGAGTTCTCCAGGTACAACTGCACCCTGTTCCCAGGCACTGTGGGTGCAGAACAGCTCCCTGTTACCCCACATTGCTGTGCCCTGACCAGGCACTGCTCTGCTCCACCTCATCAGCCAGGGCCACAACCTGTGCTTACAGTCAAGAATCAGGAGTAAGGAGCAATATATGAATAAAAAACAGGCACAGGGAGAAGAGAGAATAATGATTAAAAAGGGCACAGGTCTCAGACACATTAATATTTTGATATGTGACTTAAAAGAGCTAGAAACTTTAGCTGCCAAGAGTAAGAATTCTTCTCTCCTACATGTTGTCCTGCTTTGGATGAAAAAGGAGGGTTGAATTGGAGCTGAAAATGCTCCAGCTGCCAGGTCCTGCACTAACACCTCCTACAGTACAGATGTTTGGCATCAATTTTGCCTTCCCTCCTACAGGTGGCACAAAGGTCCTGTGTCTACACAAATCCAGACTTGCTGGCATGACAAAAATGTCCAGGGAACCTCTTCCTGCCTGTGCACTCGACCCCTCTGGTCCCAGATGAGGCTTTACAGGGGATGACTTCAGGACTGAGTACTGTCCCTCTCACAGGAGAGCATCTGCCACGGCTCAAAGTGGCCCCAAGTGTACTCACAGGTGACAGCACACTTGGAATGACCTGGCAGGTTATATGTGACAGCATGCATTTTCAAAAGCATCTCTTTAAAAACCAAAGCAAAGCCACACACCACAGCTCCCTGCTTTCAGGAGTGGAGTCAGTCTGGAGCAACCATCTGGCTATGAATTATATTAATTTTTATAAGAGCATAAATACTTTGTCCACAGCACATCAATACATAGTTCCTAGAGTATCTAAGCATGATTATTAGCTTCACATAATTTCAGAGTACTTGAAGAATATTCACCAAGCCAAAATCAAACGTCACTACACCGTTTTTATCTTCCCCTCGTGTCCTCACCCTTTGCCACACCCCAGCTCAGCTCTCTAGGGCATGCACAGCACGGGTGCAGGAAAGGAGGAGTTAATAGAAAAGAAAAAATGGGATACAAATATAGTGTATTTTGAAGGGTAAAGGGCCACAAAGGTGTCAGTTTGCATGCACTGATGTCAGTGAGGGCTTCAGAAGTAGCAGCAGCAGAGGTGCTGATTTGGCTGCTAGTTCTGGGTTCTCCCTCAACCCCCTTAGAGCCTGCAGAGCTGCTCAGAAACTTAAGAGTGCAGCCCAAGTGTCCTCTTATGCCCTGTCACACTCACTGGGGGCAGATGAGGGACAGAAGCACTGGCCTGGCAGACACACAGGCACTGCTGTCCCACGCTGCAGCCTCGGTGCTTCCACTGAAGCAAAGCAACACAGTGTTGTCACAGATCTTGTCCAGGGAAAGGCACTTAAAGAACCCACATCAGTCCCTTTATAAATCTGGCTCTGCTGGGCAGGGTACAAGATTTTGAGTTGGCAGATGAGCCACGACCACCGAGAGCCAGAGTCAGGCACTTGGGCATGGAGCAGATCTGATTTCAAGTGACACACAACCCTCAGCTCCACTCTGCTGTACCATCCTCTGGTCCAGACACCAGCATATGGCCAGTGTGAAAGAGCAGCACCTTGAATTAGGGGCTTTTGGGCTAAAACCCTCTAATACTGTTAAGATGTTTGCACGCTCTGGCCTGCATGGCTGGGAGAACCCTCAGGCTTCAAAGCTGCATCTCGTAACCACAGGTTACCACAGTGTTCCTCTCTGGCCTGAAATAGAGTCCAGCTAATGGAAAACAAGAAGCTCAAAGCACTGACCAAGTGGTCCTGGGTGCTTTTGTGCCAGCTGTGTTCATTAGCTACCAGCCCTTTGTTAGCTCTTGTCCCACCCAGCAGGAGAAAATGTGTTCCCATGTGTGTGTCACACAAAATAGCACCTCAGCTGCACAGGGATGGGAGGATTGTGCTCAGGGCATGGACTTGCACCAGAATACCTGAGCTGGGAGCACACATTTCCTTCTGCTGGATCCACTGTGGGGGAAGCAATCATGCAGTCAGGTGATATATCCAACTGCTGAGCTATGTCCTAATTGAACCTCGGGTGAAAAATGCAAAGCACCTTCCATACAGAACCTACAGCATGGCAGTGTCTAGAACAGTCTATTTGGCACTAAATCAGGTATGGTAAGAACAGGCTCAGTAAAGGCAGTGGTGATTTACCTATTTTTTTTTTCTCCAGGAACAGTCCAGAGTAAAATACTGCAAACTCACAACTGATCTTCTACAAGCCTTGTTGTCTGAGACACAACTGGTACTGCTTGAATGCTACAGTTTATAAATCAGAACACCTCTGGAAAATCCCACCCTTCTCCTCCTTTCTTCCCTTTCCCCTAAAAGATCCATCTTCCTCTACCATCAGCAAAAGCCTGAGAGACCAACCATGTGAGAGAAGCAGAAAGAGAGGAGACTTGTCAGCATCAGAGTCTCTAAAGGACCAAAAATTCAACTGCTGCAAGTTTGGTTTTGAGGCTCTGAGGTTTTCTGGTGTCTTGAGAAGCAGCAGCACAGACATGCTGAGGCACAAAGAAGGGGGGGAAATAAGCTGACACCTGAGTACAGACAAAAGCTTCTTTGGCATTAAAACTGAACCCCACTTCAACATGTGTTATTTTGTTTCACCCATGAAATGTTTCCAATTACAAGTCCAAAAGTTCTTCAGTAAATCATGAACAAAGCACCACAGAGATCAGTTGTACAGCTTGGCCACAAAACAAAGTAGCTTTCTGATGTTCTGACATATAAATTAGTGCAACTTGTAAATATACTTCACTGGTATTAATCTGCATAAAGCGAAGACAAATGGATTTCTTGCTTATATTCAATTGCAGTTAACATATCTCCCAGATTAAAAAATTTTAAACTCAGTGTAGGTCTGCACTTGCTGTGCAAACAGAGCTAAAATATTCCTTAACAAGATTATTCAGGCTTCACAGTATAAATCCCACTCCTTCCCACAGTTCTGCCAACTGCCTGTTCCCAATATTTAGTTGCATCCTCCCCATCCCATCCCAGCACTGCACAGGGAAAAAGACAAGAGAATAAGAAAGGAACAGGAATGGTCAAACAACATAACACTGAAGAGAAAAATATCATAAAAGGTGCCTGACCTCAGGGGGCTCAAAGATGGGGCAAGTTTAAATTAAAGGAGAAAACCCAAAGTGCTCCTAAAGAGATGGGAGGAAAACAGGAGACAGGAGGGTACGTGAAACAGGGCACAGAGAAGTTTAACAGAGCCTTGACTTTCAGCTCCTGGAAGCAAAGCATCCTAAGAGGCTGCCAAGCATCTTTAGAAGCTGCCACTGAGAGATTCCTCGCTACTGGGCAAGAAAATTTGGGCAGATTAATTTTATTCTTATAAAAAAAGGGATAATTGTTGATAGAAATCAGGCATGACACTGCCATGGCCATCCCCACAGCCTGTCAGCAGCATCAATACATCCTTCAAACATGAGGTTTCTCCCATCACTGGGACACACCTCACAGGAGAGCAGCAAGAGGAACTTCCAAACTGTGCAGTAAGTGCAGAAAACAATCACAGCTCAATAGGAACATCAGTCTTTTCCTATATTTAACTTTAGGAGGAAAATTTTGAAGTCCTGAAGCAGGAAAAAGGGAGGAAGGAAAAAGAAGTCTGCTGTTTTATTTCACTTAATGGCCATGACAGCTCAGGGTGTCCTGGGTTTTCTGTGCAGCTTTTTCGGAGGATGGCAGAGCTGGCACTGGATTTGGTGCCAGTGCCCATCTCATCAGGTGGCTTTGTCCACCCCACTTTGAACAGCAGATGGGCTGCAGAACAGTGGTGTTGGAAGGGCTGCTGCAGTGAGTTTTCCAGGGATCACTGCACTGAAAGGAGTGCTGAGTCAACAGTTGATAGCATACAAATTGTCCCCCTTTTTGTTTTTTTTTAAGGGCTTTTCTCCTCTGCCATTTCCCATCCTTTCACGAGCTTATTACTTCCTGTCCTAACACTGCTTCCTGCTCCAACAGGCTGATAGGTACAGAGAAAAAAGACTGGATTTTTAAGGAATGTTTCCTATTAAATCTCCTAAGGGAGAGTAGGAAAGAGGCACCAGAGGGATTGTGAAAGTCTGACCCAGCACACTGCTGCTGGCTTTTTTCCCCTGCTTTGTCACATGGCTTCCTGTAGTATTTACTTTGAAACAATTCTCTAAATTCAATCAAGTGCCCCTGCAGAAAATGGGACAAAATGGTTATTATCATCATTTTGAAAGTCTGAGACTGGAATAAGAAGCAACCTGTAAGCTGGAAGACAAGCATTTTGGGTCAGGATTGGTAAGTGATGGGAAGGTGGAAGATGGAACCAGACTTTGCAAGTGCTGGGTTCCTTTAGTGGGTAAATAAGTAAACAACCCTCAGAGCACCATCATTCACAAGCACCAGAATGGAGACAGGTGTTCTGTGAGCTTGGAGGTGGATATTTGTCTGAAGGCACTGGAAAAATGTTCCAAAGGAGAGCCGAGAAGGGAAGTAGGTTTGTGTGGCCCCTTCCCTTGCTAAGTCCTTCAGCCAGGAGCTGCACCTTCCCAGGGCACACTCAGCCTGGCTTATTGTTAAAGAACCTCACAGTGTCACCTTTGTGCTTTCACAAGGATCACAGGTTGGAAGAGCAGTAATTAAGAAAAGCTATGAAAGCTTTTGTTTCCTTTAAAAAAAGCTTCTCTGGTTTCACCAGCATCTGTAGCACCCAGTAGTGTCTGAATGTTTCAGCAGGAGTTGCAGATACTTCACAGTGAGAGCTCCACTCCGATTATTTTAGAGTTTATACACTGGAAGATCACGACATCCAATTAATTTATATCAGACTGTTAGTGTGGCAAGTTCCACTGTGCTATTTGGAACAGAAGAAAATAGCAGATCTTCTGTAACAGTGCTTTTTCCTCTTGGAAGACCCAAATCCATCAGAGAAACTCAGTGGGGTGCCTTGCAAACAACAGTGCAGGATATTCGGACTGCTGATCCTAAGAGGCCCCAACAAGTCAATCCCACAAAAACCCAAGGAGCTGGAAGCTCCTTCTTCCCTCCCCACACAGTAACACCCAGTTACCCCAGCTTTCAGCAGAGGACTGCCAGGCACTCAGCTCCAAATCACAATTTCCAGACCCCTTTTTTTCAGCAGCATCAGGACCGATGCAAGACTTCAAAAGAGAACCCTTTCAAGTAACCCCAAAAATCGGTCTCTGTTGCCATGCAGTCCCACAGCAGAGCTCCCACCCCTTCCTATGGCACATCCTTCCTATCTGTGTTCTCAGCAATAAACACTGCCTGAGTAAGTAGTGATCAACACTGACAGCTGACCATGTATCACAGCATGAGGTTGTTATCACATATTTCTTCTATAGGAGTGAAGGAACACACGCATTTTTATCCACTTGTGCTTGTACACAGATGTTCCTCAGGGAGTGGGTGGGTAACAAACCCAAAGAAAACTGGCATTGAAAGCAACAGCCACTGGTAGATCTGAAAATTTAGCCTCAACCAGCTGAATACTTTCAGGTATTAAATCAGACACCCTGAGCTACATGATCTTGTAAAGCACCCTTTTGAATAAATTATTGGAGTTCCAGTCAACAGCACTTAAGGACACTTCTCCATATAAAACAGGAGCCAGAAGAAGGGCAGAGCTAGAGAACATGCAGGTAAGTGATGCTACATTGTGGAAGGCAAGAGGAACCAGGTTATGGGTCCCCTCCTCGCATGCCTGGGCATGTTACCACAGCACACGTTACGAGGACTCCAAATCCAGAGGCAAGTTCCCATCAGTTCCAAGTTAAAATGACCAGCACCATTAGAAAAGTGAAGGTGGCCTGGGCCCCATTGGTGGATCAAGGCAGAGGGTTCCTCTGTGAGTGGCTAAGGATGGAGAGGCAGTGAGAAGAACTGGGAGGACAGGAGGAGCCAGAATCTCTTTGGCTGGAGGAGCAGAATGGGGAGGAGGCTGCATTCACGGAGCAGTTTGTGAGGCAGCTGCTGGAAGAACTGGCTTTGGGGAAGCTGGATATTTGCACTGCTGATGTAGGATGCAGGAGGAAGGGAGAATGGAGGCAGCAGGAGAGGCTTCCATGGCTAGCAGTGGAAGTGCTCCAAGCAGCTAGCACAGTGGTAAGCAAGGATGGGAAAAAAATTAAAATATATAGATATATATAGATATATATAAAAAGCAAGAAGAGATCTTCACTGCTTATCTGATTGATTAAAAAAAAAAAAACAAAACAAGGAAACAGAGGAAGGGAAAATTAAAAGAGGAGAGAGAAGCACCAGTTGCAAAGAGTTCACAAGGCTTTTTTTGCTCCTTCCCCCAGGGTCACTGCTCTGGCTCTGACCTTCGGGGCCGGTATCTCCGCTGGCCCGTCGACTTCCGCGTGGCCACGGCTGCGGTGAATCCCACCAGGCAGCACAGGGACGTGGTGCCAAACTTGGCCGTGTCCAGCCAGCTGGGGGTTTCCATCTTCAGGTACCTCTCAGCTACGTGCAGGCTCATCACCACGAACCACAGCACCGAGGCAAACGCGTCGATTCTCCGGAGTCTGCAACGGAAAGAAAAACCAAGACAAGAGTTTGAACACCAGCCAACTCCCTCGGTGCTGAGGAAGGAGAGGGAAGGTGGGGAAAAGGAGGGGAGGGTACATGGACTGAGCAGGTTATGTACTGCCTCTGACTGGGTGCAGCCCTGCCCACTGCTGTGTAAGCACCTGAGTAGATCAGCTCCATTTTCTACCAGAGCTGCACAGGGAACTCTTCATTCACAGTAATTCAAGCTTAAATTGAATGAACCAAGGCACAGATCCAAAGCAAGCTCTGCTGTCTCCACCCAGCCTGCTGGTTAAGAGCTGTGCCACCCAGTGCTACGTGTGCCATTCTGGTAGATGTTTATCCCTGGATCACCGAGTCAAGACTGGACCAAAGACCTCCAACATAACACAGTTTTCCTTGAAGTGAACCAGGAGCCAAGTGCACACTCACCTGATCCTCCCAGCCAGGAACATGGCCAGCAGGCAGGTGAACAGCCCCAGCACAGCCACGGCCATCTGGTGATTCCTCCCATAAGCCCACACGGCGCTCAGGTTCTCCACCACGTGCTCCGGGAGCAGCTGGAGCAGCTCCCTCCATCCTGCCACCCTCACCGAGGTGTCATTGCCCACGTCTGCACGGGAGCCTGAGCCAGTCCTGTTCTGAAGGGACGCTGGGCCAGAGGGAACGGGAGCAGGGACTGCTGTGCTGAGGGAGAAGGGGTTGCCTGACCCGTACAAGGCCATCAGAACCAGGAACGCGCAGCTGAGGAAGGCCAGGAAGCGCAGCAGTATCACCTGAGCTGGTGTGGTTATGGAAGCAGAGGAGGAGGATGAACATAAATTCTGCAGAAGAAGGGAGAAACACCTTGTCAGAAGGAACTGCAGTAAGGTTTTGAAATGGTGCCTTAAGAAACACTTCCAGATTATATGGTTTACTGGACTGTTTTGCTCAGGTCCCTCTAAGTCTCTGTACTGGGCTGACACCACATGGGATGTTGTAGTCTAGCAAGGAGCAATTGCAGAGCTATGAGCAGAAGCCAAGGTCAGGCAGGGAGAATGTCATAATTCACTTCCCATCATTCTTTTTTAATTTTTTCCCCTTGTACTCTGTAGTTTCTTGCACTGCACTCATAAACTGCCTTCCCTACCTCCCTTTCTCTGCCTGTCCCATAATTTTCCTTCCACTCTGTTATTATTACATTAGACTTGCCTTCTGGCAACTGCCCTGAACGACACCAGCAGGAGGAAAACCTCAAACTAACATCAGGAGCATCTGCGGCAGCTACGCTGTACTCTTCTAAACTGCTGGTACAGAAGCAGCTCCCAGGTTTAGGGAGCCCCAAGGCTGCTGCCTCCCTTTCCCAGCAGCAAACCCAGGTGCAGTGGGATCAAGTTGTCTGCATTTCCTCCCGAGCCCCCTCACCTGGGCGTAGGCCTTGTCTGTCTCGCGGCGTTTGAAGTGGTGGCTGAGCAGCAGCGCGCGGAGCTGCCGGTTCTGGTGTTTGATGTAATACTCCACAGCAGCCTGGCACGGGCGGCACAGCTTGTAGGTCTGCTCCAGGTGGTGCTTGTACACCTCAATCTCCTCATCATACTTGCCCTGGTGAGAGAACAGGAGAGGAAACGCAGGTGAGAAGTGCAGGTCCCTCACCTGTTATCATATTGGCTCCCGACAGGCGGACAAAGCGTGACTCCGGTCTCCAGAGGAACAGCCCCCAGAGGAACCAAGCTGGAGGCCAGGCATGCAACCAGCTTCACATACAGCTGACCCAGCCTCCATGTCCCAGAAGAGATGAAAAAAGCCCTGCAGAAGGCTGCTGTGGCCCAATTCCAGGATGCTGAATTTCTGTGGCCCTATTTTGCTGTCTTTGTTGAGACCTTATGAACTCAACACAGGTGGTGAGACAAGAAACTAAAACTGCTCTTCCTCTCCTCAAATGAGGGGACACAAAATACCTGTTGCCCCTTCACTCCACTGTGCTGGAGAAAGAGATAAGCTCCTTTCAAAAATCAGCCCCAAACTTGAAGGCTGTCCCTGTTTGGAGGCCTTACTGAGATGAGCTCCACAAATCATTAATAACACTGGTAAAAAAAATCAGTAGCTACGTTTTTCGGTGTCACTACAGTGGACACACCACTTGTCACAGAAGCTTCTAAGGCTCTTCTAACTCCAAGATCCTTGTACCAAAAGTGTCAGCTGAAAGCATGCAGCTTCTCTGGAAGCAGGATGGTGCACTGAGGCTGCCCAAGAGTTTGCTCCAGCAGTTCCATAGGTTCCACCTTTTGGAACTGAGAAGGAATCCCATGGCAGAGACCAGGAGCAGCAGGGTCATCCCTCACTGGAACAGGCCAGCAATGCTGCAAGAGGCCACTGCTGCCACTGACACACTTATCCAACCATGCTGGATAACACAGTCCCGTGTTTCTCAGCTGGCACAGACATTACAGGTCACTGAATGCCTAAAAAGGGGCCAGAGGCAGTGCTTTGAGGAACTGCATAGGTCAGGCAAGAAGCAGGGACTAGAAATAAAGCTGAGAAAAGGGCATCAGCTGAAGATACTCTCATTAAGCATGATCAAATTTAAATCTGTTCTCTGGGAGTCATCCTGATCAAACTTGTTACAATTACACAAAGCAGACTGGATTAGGTAAAACCAGAGGATGAACACATCCCACTACAGCACAGTCCAACCCCAGGGTTTGTTGACAATGGCTGAAAGCTAAGGAGTGCAGCACTAAATTCTCTGTGTGAAACGTTGGAGAGGCATAAAACTGTGAAGGAAAAACCCCATTATCCCATTCTCCATGCATATTAAGTAATGGGAAAGCCAAGAAGTTGCTCAGCAGGAAATCCTGTTGCTGTAACTGTAAAATTCCCTTTGCCCTCCTAGGCACAGATGCCTGACCAGGGAAATTATGTGGCTGCACAGGATTCCTCTCCCACTGCACTAATAATGCAGAGCAGCACAGGCAGGGCCCCAGGAAAAACAGAATCTGTTAAGGCTTTAAGGTATCCAGTGGGCAGCTGTGCCTGCCAAATCCTCCAAGCTTGGCCATGGGAAGCACTGGAGCTGTAAGCTGATCTCAGCAACGTTTTGGGCTCGAGCTTCAACTCTCAGCGCTCATCTAGAACAGGGCATTACATTCTGGCTTAGGAATAGAATTAGGTGAATTTGCAGCACTAATCAGTAACCTCCTCTGCACTGGAGTACCACATAGTGCTTCTGAAGACTATTGGAGCATCATTCCACAGTACACTGAAAACCTGTTCTCTCTCCTGCTTACAAGGCTGCAGGATGGAATTAAACCGAGCAGGAAGAGCAGAGCCACGCACGGGAATGTCTCAGTCAAGCACTCACCTCCTCCCTCGGTGAGAATGAAGCCAGCTGTTTGATTTTCATGGTTTGATGGTTGTTGCACTTCTTGCAGAGCAGAATTTGGCTGCTCACCCACTGCTGTGGTTTGGTGGGATCACAGAAGGTCGTGCCGCCCGACACAACGTGGTTGAGGTGCTCCATGTACTGGGCAGGGATGGGCTTGTTGTAGTCTCCATTCTGACAAAAAAGCAGGAGGGGAAGCAGACATTAGATCATAAAATCAAAGCTGGGTTGGCAATAAGAGTCCCTAAGCTCTGTCAGGAGCTCTACATGCATTCACCTATGTGACAAAGTACATAAGCAAAAAGAAAGAGACAAAATGCTTCAAATCTTCTGCCCACCTCCACTGTTCCACACACCTATTGCAGGCAGCTGGCTGTGCTGGATCCTGGTTTAAGACAGGTTTTGTTATTTAACAGAATACAAAACCAGAGAATAATAATATTTTAATATATTTCTAATTACTGTTAATATTTTATATATTATTTGCTATATTTATTGTTGATAATACTAAATTATTAATAATTTAAATACTATTTAATTAATATTGCTAATAGTTTAATATAGTGCCGACGCCTAAATTCTGACAGGGTTTTAAACTCTTTTACTGTTGTTGGCTATTAATAAAGACAATCTGATTGCATCATTAAAAAATAGAGGTTTTATTCTTCCATCCTCCTCGTCCAGTAGAAAGGAGCAGAAATCACCCAGAATGGCAGGATCACATGCAATGTTTATATTAAAGCCTTTTTAATAGCACACCTAGCACAGGGATTTTTACACTGTTTCATATATTTAAAAAAATATTCTTAAGAGATATGTCAAGGCTGCTTTTGCCCTTTAAAGAAAGGGAGGAAAATCTGTCTTCATTATCACAGCCAGCACATCCCAGTAGAGCGGATTCCTTCTCAAAGCTGATCAAGCGATGGGCTGCTGAGCTCACCAGTGCTCAAGCACAGCTGTCAAACCGCTGCACATTCACGTGCACTGGGCCTGCATCACCTCAGAGGAGGAGCAGGGATTTCCCAAAGCACTGTTCCACCTTCCCAGCCTGCCCCAGTACCTCCTGGAAGCCGTTGTACTGCTCGCAGTTGGGGCAGTCCCAGCAGTTGCGGTTCCCGTACGGCACCACCGTGTCCTGGTTGCAGAACCAGCAGTTCACTGTCACGTGTGTGGGCTTCTTCCTGCTGGGGGAGGAAACGTGTCAGGCATGAACACTGAACTCAGCTGGTGGACAGGAAAGCAAAGGCTTTCAAACAGGAAGCTGGAAAAATAATCAGTCTTCCCATTCTGTGATACGACTCAGAGTAGTCACTTTGGCAATGAAAAGGTGGGCTGTTAAAGTAGAAATTAATTCTGTACTACTACCATGAACATGCTGAATTATCAGCTTCCCTGTTTTTCAGGGGCACATTTGGGGGTGCAAATCCTCTCCATAATCAGCAGTGTTATTATATGAGAAGGGTGCTGTAGAGTTGATGCTTAATACATAGAATCCCGGGAAAAGGAAGTTACGATCCACAAGAGCTGCCTATGATGGTGCTCAGAAACCCAGGTTACAGTTCTATCTATTTTGACAGAAAATTTTTCAAGGGCAAGGGTTATCACATTATCCCAAGGCTCAGGCACTGTTAACAGCTGTTTCTTCACAGCTTTAGATGTATAAAGAACTGAGGAAACAACACGTCTTCCCTGAGAACGGAAGGGATAAAGACTAATGACCTTGATCCATGAGCCCCTTGTTTTTTTAAAGCAATCCTGTTAAAACAACAGCCAATACAGACAAACAGCTGTGATGTGACCACAGGTTGTGACAGATGCTTGAGCAAAGAGCTCCAGTGGCCTTAGCCCTGCTAAAGAAGGTCTGCATTTCTCTCAGAACTTGGTGCAACCTCCATGAGGAGCTCCCTGGCAGGTCAAGGCAGCACAGCCCAGCTGTCTGGGTTTATTAGAACCAGTCCCAGTCCCACTTGCAAGGGAGGGCAGCTGCTCAGGGACTGGCTATGGCAGCTATGCAGACAGATGGACCCAGCTGCCACCAGCCCAGCTCCACCAAGGCATTAATCTGTGTGGCTCCACTGCAGTGGCAGAGAAAGCAATGGAGCAGGGGGGCTCATGGAGGGCCTGGGAAGCAACTAACAGGAATCCAAATGCTCCCAAATTGAGAGCAACTTCTCTTCTTCCTGCTCTAGGAAATGGTCTCTGCTGCTACAAAATTCCATAGTGAAACACCCTCTGAATCCTGCAGAAGTGTTGTCTGGCACCCTTCGACCAAACAGGCAGCTGGGTCTTCCCCTCTCTCTCAGCCATCACCTCTGTAGCTGGATGCCTACAATTAAGATTATTCTTCCTCCCTCCCATTTCCACAGACTGTGTCTTGAAACTTGGTTCACAGAATATCCAACCCTCAGGCAATGCCTGGCCTTCCAGTCTAGGTACTAACAGTGCTTGCAATGAAGCACTGAAACTCCAGCATGCATTGAGGATTCCCTGCCAGATGCTGAAAGAAAATAGCTGGAGCTTCTTGGGTGACAGATTCTCACCCCAAAATAGATGCAAACACCCACACCCCTCCTAAAATGAATATTCCTTGCTCAACTTTCTTCACTGCCAAGGGGGCTCAAAACAGTAACTGATGCGAGTTAAAAATACCACTTCTGAAACTAAGAGGCAAAAAAAAAAAAAAGTTTAAAGCAGACAAATCTAGGTCGTTAGTCTGACTTATCCATGAGCTCCCACTGTCCAAATGCCAAGAAAACCACTTGTCAAAACAGCCATGTGAAGGATGGACAGCAACACCTGTTGGTACTGGTTTCATCTCACTATCACAGGGGTAAAAGCTGTGCAAGTATAACATGCAGGCTTCTTTAACCACAAAAATCCTAGTGCTCCTTGAGCACAGGCTTCCCACTGAGGGAGGTTATTGCACAAGCCCCAGGTACTGTGGAACATGCCACAGTCCCACCCCCATGCTGCTGTTCACCATCCTCTGGCATCCATGGAAATAAGACACACCACACTTCAGCCCCTACCCACCCCCAGCGTCTTCCACGACACGAGAGAGGAGGTGGAAGCACTAATTTTCAGCAAAAAAAGAATCAATGCCAAACCCTGTCCAAGAACTTGCAAATGTAAGAGACCAAATCCTCAGTATACTCCAGACCTTCCCATCATTTTCCAAACAGGATTCCACTTCTAGTTCTTGAGGCTGAGGAAGTGCTACCAAGGATGAAACAGCAGCCCTTCATTCTCACAATGTATGCAAAAGAAATGGCTAAATCCTGGATTATTTAGGATAAGAGGCAATAATCCTTCCTTTTCTGAACCTATGATCTGTTGCCATAGAAATAGGTGCAAAAAACCCAAGTTCCAATCTGCTGGATGCAAAAAGAAGAACAAGGGGGGAAAAAAGGTCATTTTAGGCAAGAACATGTAGGTGGGGTACCAGTTTTCTAGTAATTGGACAGGACCTTAAAAGCAAAAAACAAGTACTGCATTTGGAAAGACTCTCAAATACAGATTTAATGAGTTTGGAGCTATATTTACCTTGACTGAATTCAGGCAGCAGCTGAAGGCAATAAGCTACAGCACACACTGCTTCTGAAGTCACACCCTGGGATGAGAGAGACAATGCAAAACTGAGCACTTACAGTGTGCTCAATCCCTTGCAAAACACCAGGCAAATCATCCCTGAGGAGTTTAAATGCACCACTGTACTAACTCGAACCAGCTTCACTGGGACAGAGAACCTCCCTGCAAAATAAAACCTGAGCAGCAGGAGGTGACAATTACTGACAGCACAGGGGGATTCCACTCACAGCTCACCTGCTGTGCTAACTCCGTGTGGAACCTGCACACACAAACAAGCTCGAGAAAATTCCCAGGCTTGGATAAATTATTCTGCAGGTAGAAGATATTTGCTTAAGACAACAGCGAGGGGAAAATACCCGCAGTAAACACATTTAGGGGATCAACACCTAAATGTCTGACAGCCCTCATATAACACAGAATGTTTCTTTGTGAGGGGTCATCAGATGACTTCATTTTGCTCACAAAAATCAGTTTGCAGCTCTGCAGGTCCTGTTGACAAACACTGTTTAGCAACTACTTTGTGTCTGTCGTGTAACATAAGAGGACCTTAGGTTCCTTCCAACTCCAAGCACTCTTCACTATTCCTCATTTATACACATATTCAAGGCCACACTTTTAATGGATTGCCAGAAGAACAGTCTGCCTGAAAAGTGCTGATAATAATAAACTGAATCTATAAATATTTATATATATTTATAAATATTAACATCTATCCTCCCCTTTACTACTAGGTCAGAAGATGAAGATGTTTGGTTTTCCATATTTAAAAGAAATATGGATGTGCAGTTCTTCAGAGGGTTATCCTCATCCTCTCCCAAGGATTAGAAGAAAAACCCAATTCTCCATTAAAAGTATTTAAAGCAGCACTCTTCATTCTGGCACAACTGGATTACAAAGCAATTATACAAAGGGCTATGCCAGCAAATCTGAAGGAAAGAGGAGCTGATTTGCACAGATCAGCCCCAGGCACAGATCAAGCCATGGCACACTCCAGCTCACCATCAGGGAAGCTCCTGGGGAGTTCCAGGTGGTGCCCATGTCCATCACCTGCCAATAAAGGGGTCTGTCAGTGCAAACCCAGTGCTAAAGCCCATTTTCCAGTGCAAGAAAAACACATCTATCTAAATTCCAGCAGGTGAACGCTGTCACAGACACATCTGCTCACAAGGAGCAGTTGTGGACAGGGTTGAAGATTTAACCACAAGATCAGATTTCTAGTAGAGTCAGAGGTTACAATGCACCCTCTCCTCTCATAAAAGCCAGACTTAGTGTCCTCTTAAGAGGGAATAAGGTGCCCAGTGGACCTAGGCAGGGACACAGATCCACAGCTGTAACCACTCTCTGGGCTTGTCCCCCTCAAGAGCTGTCAGAACTGTGAAACTGCAGCTCCAGCAACTTTGAACACCCTGGAGAACACTGGCCCCAGGACAGGATGCTCCAGGAAAGGTGCCTCTTTTTGCCACTGCAGTACCTGTGACAACCTTCCCAAGGAAATGTTGCTACAGCTGCTGGTCTGAACTCAGCACCCCAACCGACAAACAGGCAGCCAGGCTGTGATCTCAAAGAAAGACCACAAAACATACCAGAGTTTTTCTATCTGACCCAAACTCACACGGATTAAGGAGTTCCTGTACATTGTACATGTGGACATCAAATCTTTTATTTCCTTGATTCAAAAAGCAAAGATAGCATCATATCTGTGTTTGGCATCGTGTCTGTGTCCCTTATAAAGCTGTCCTCCTTGATGACTATGGAAGATTAATTTCTGAGACAGAGTAAGAAATCTGGTAACATCAGAACATTACTAAGAAACACAAACATGTACCCCCAAAGAATTATCAAGGTCACCTCCTGACAGAATTTACCAGCAGTCTTCAAGGACTTGGGAAGAAATGCTTTCCATTCCAGAGACCTTTTGATGAACTCGAGCAAAACAAATCCAATCTCCTCCCTCAAAAGGCATGTTAGCCTCAACTGGGTCAAAGAAACACTGCCTGCTTCACTGGGATTGCTTCAGGCCACCAGGATCTCTTGGCTACCCTAAATATGTCACAGAAATGCCAAGTCTTGTATATGGGCTAATGTATCACTGATCACTTATATGGTTCCACAAACAGCAAAGGCTTTAGAGCAAACCTTAAGCATGATATTGTGAATGTAGAAATATGCTTCTACTGCTAAGCGTAAACTTGAAGTGAATCTTAACACAGGGAGCCCTTGGGGCTCCTTTTCTCCAAGACAAGCACTCAGCTGATGAGCAAACTGCTCTCTGTTGCTATAAAGATTAAAGTGGCTCGTATTCCATACATCCCTGCACTCCTGTCACGCTATGCTAGATCAGAATCTGCCAAATTAAAGCTTTGCTCCTTTTTATGAGATCTGCATCCTGACATCTCTCCTGATGCTTTTCAAGCCTGCTTTCCAACTGGTCTGGATTTGTCCTAAAGTCAGGAACGTCCTGTGCAATCAAGAAAACAAGTAACCAAAGAGTTTTGCTCCCTAATCAATAATTTTGACTTCTATGGAATCCCCCCGAAGTTCTAGCACCGTGCTAAGTGTGCTGTGATTTTACAGCCCTGTTCCCCATGAAATCCTGCCTTCGCCCCTCATCAATCAGCACAGAAAGCAGGATTTTCTCTTTCCCTGCCTCAAACACGCCAGAAAAAATGCGGGAGACCCCGACCCCTGGGAGCCTCTGTCCCTGCATCCTCACATCTCTCCTGATGCTTTTCAAGCCTGCTTTCCAATTGGTCTAGATTTGTCCAAAAGTCAGGAACGTTCTGTGCAATCAAGAAACCAAGTAACCAAAGAATTTTGCTCCCTAATCAATAATTTTGACTTCTACGGAACCCCCCGAATTCCAGCACCGTGCTAAGCGCGCTGTTATTTTACGGTCCTGCAATCCTGCCTTCAACCCTCACCAACCACGACAGCAAGCAGGATTTTCTCCTTCCCTGCCCCAAACACTTCAGAAAAAACGGGGGAGACCTCGATCGCTGGGAGCCCGTGTCCCCGGCGCCGTGAGGGCAGCGACCCGCGGTACTCACCGCTCCCACCGCGGCGCGTCCTGGATGCTCAGCCCGGTACACACAAAAGCCATTCCGGGGGACACGGAAGGACAGATCCGGCCATTCACCCACACCCTGACAACGCTGGGGGGCCTTTCCCTCAGCACCCTCCTCGGGGAGGGAGCCAGACCCTGGCCGGGCGCACCCGCGGTGTCCCCACAGCCGCCGTGTCCCCACAGCCGGGCACCGGGCCCCGCGTGGCGCCTTCCCGCCGCCGCGGGCCGCACACCCCGCCATGTCCCTCCCTCCCTTCATTCCCTCCTTCCCTTCCCATACCCTCCCTCCTCCTTCTCCTCCTCCCTGCCGGCCGTACCTCCGCGCGAAGCGGTAGAGCAGCAGCCCCGCGGCCGCGGCGCACACGGTGGCGCCCAGCCCGGTTCCCTCCATGCCGGCCCCGGCCCCGACCCGGCGGCGGCGGCGGCGGCGCTTTGTACGCGGCGCGGCCGCCCCCCCGTCCCGCCCCTCGCTCGGCGGCGGGGGCGGCGCGTGACTCACGGAAAGGCCGGAGTCGTGCGGCGGGGCCGCCGTGAGTCAGCGCCGCCGAAAAAAGGCCGAGATCGTGGCGGCGGGGGCGGCCCCGCGGGCCCCCCGGCGCTGCCCCGGCCCCGTGCGGGGGCTGGCGGCGAGGGGAGGTCGTGCCTGGCCCCCGCCGTGCCTGGCCCCGGGCCCGCCGCGCTCGGGAGGTGGGGGGGAGTCGTTGGCTTGACTAAATTTAGACGCGGCGCTTTCCGCGTTAGAGACGGACAGGCCAGGGCGTCCCGGTGAAGGGCGGCCGCGCTGCTCGGAGTCATTCGCACGGGCACAGAATATCCCGAGCTGGAAGGGACACACAAGGATCATCCAGTCCAAGCCCTGGCCCTGCACAGACACCCCAACAATCCCACCCTGTCCCTCAGAGCGTTGTCCAAACGCTCCTCGAGCTCTGGCAGCCTTGGTGCTGTGCCCACTGCCCTGGGGAGCCTGGTCAGTGCCCGATCACTCTCTAAGGGGAAGAACCTTCTCCTGGAATCCAACCTAAACCTGCCCTGGCACAGCTCCAGCTGCAACCTGGGTCCTGTCACTGATCCCCACAGAGATCAGCACCTTTCCCTTCACAATGAAGTTGTACCTGCAATGAGGTCTCCTCTCAGTCCCCTCAGCCACTCCACCCACACCTTCCCCTCAAGGCCCTTCACAGGTCCCAGCTCTGAAGGGGGAAAAAGGTTACAAACATCATGTTTAACACCATTAAAAAAGGCACAAATGGAAAAGCTCTTCACAAATATTTGTACTGGAAGTAAGCTGTGCTTTTAAGCTTGTCTTTAACTATGGTTGGGCTCTCTTCACTGTTCCATTTCCCTCTCCACAGATTTAACCACGGTAATGAATTCTGTGGAGTAACAGTGAATATTTCATCTTGACAAACATAAAAGGGACATAATTTTTCCATCTCTCTTCCACTGTTTAGCACAGTCACTTAAGGATTGTTTTATGAGCCCAAGTGATAGGGACAGGAGGAACAACCCACCCAGTTATTTGGCACATGAAGACCTTCGAGGTCCTCTAGGACTTCTGGAGAGCTGGTTATTTTTTCTTCAGAGGTCCCTCCCTTCCTATCAACTCTCTGTAGCACCAGTCCAGCCAGAGATGCATTGTTTGAAAGTTTCCTCCTTAAAGGAGCTAATGAGGAACTTGTGCAAAACCACCATAAATCACAGTGAGGGGCACAATCACAATACAAGCATGGATGCCAATTCTCAGCAAATGCAGGTATTTTGAGGGATATCATGATACCTAAAGGGAGGCAGTAAGTCTTACAGCATAAGGACTTTGACAAATCTTCAAATGCCTCAAAAATGCTTCCAAAACTAAATTAACCAACAAGAGCAGCTCATACTATTGCAGCAACAGTGCATCTGTAATTTCAATTTAACTGTTAATATATGAATAGGAACGGGTTCAGTCCTGGTAAAGTTAATGGAGTCATAGTGGTGACTTCAGATAGGACTGTAGTTTCATCACCTTACTGATAATTAAACTACAAAGGGTCTATTAATGAAGCCTTTACCTATCTTCCATGAAAATGACTTTCTGTGGAAGCTGGAGAAGAGGAATGAAGAGTGAAAAATGCTTTTAGTTTGACTTTCACAAGCAGAGAAAGGTTGGTTATTTTTAAATTCAGGTATCGTTTTGGTAAAAGCTACTTCAAATTCTTTCCTCTGGTAATAGCTTATTCCATACTCAGTGACATCAATGGGATTGCTCACAGAGCATCACCTAAAAATGGTAACTCTTTATAGGGTTTAAGGAATCAAGGGCCAGTGAATTTTAAAAATTCTATTAGAGAGAGGAAGGAAAAAGGATTTAATTATGTTAATTCAGAAACTCTATTAGTTCCCAATATAGCTTATTAACCCTCTATCAAATTAAGACTAATTCTGTCAGGATTGGTAACAAAGCTTAAAGAACAGGAACAAAAATCCCGCAGAATTCCTGATTTTCCATCAGATTTAGGCAGAACAAAAAACTGTTCACTTTCTCTTGCCTTCTCTCTTATCAAGGCCCAGACTCCTCCAAAGGGCTGGAGTTCCCTCCCCTCATTCTCAGTCTACACATTTGACTAACATTTTAGAAGTGAGCTAGAGCACTGTACGTACAGAGGAATGCTAATTTAGGAAAGCAAATCTCAGAAAATGTTTCAGAGTAGCAGCACAAGTGTCCCAGTTCTCAAAAATAGCATCAGCACTGTTTGACAGTTTTGCCTCCTATACAGCGAGTGAAGCTTTTGCTGCTCATCGTCTCCATAAAAAACCCGTGTCAATTTTTACTCAACTGTTTCCTGTTTTAGCTTAGGAGGAACGTGATCTGTTTTGTTCAGTAAGACATAACAGAAATCAGTTATTTTTGCCTCACAATGAGGTATGCACACAGTCTGTTGTCTTTGCTGTAAGCTCCTACATCACACTGATGTCAAACATGACCTCGAGTACCAGTCATCAGCTGGGGTCTGGTGGGAACAAATGGGATCTGAATCCAGTTATCAGCCCATTCTATTTCTGCAGCAAAACACCAGCCTGGAAACTTTACCTGATCAAAGACAGCCCTGCTCACTACCAGGCTGTTTCTCAGTGCTTCTCATGCTCCTTCCAAGCCTGCACACCACCATCTCTGCTGTGAGCGGTCCCTGAAGTCAAAGATGTCCATAAACACTTGTTTATGCTCAAGAACTCAGCTCCTGCTCAGATCACGAGGAGCTCATTGTTCAGGTCACCAGGGAAGGCTGAAGCTGGGCTCAAATGCTGCAGGGTTTGTCTCAGCTGCCAAGGCAAATGACACTAATGAAGAGCATAGTATGGCCAAAGCAAACCACAAATCTACACATTTGAGTTCTAAAACACTATCAGTAATAGTAATTCCTATACCACACATGAATTACAAGGTACTGCTGCAAGTGGTGAAGATTACTAAAATTGAAACCATATTCTACTTTTTATGAAGAACTAATCTCAGGTATGCAGCATATTTGATTTTTAAGTGAAAGGCAAGAATTGTATCGCGAGAACTGTTGAAGAATACCCCTTGGATACTGTGTTTGTGAAGGGGAAGGCAGACATCACAGCTATATGAAATGTGAGAACTCTTCAGAAGGCTGCACTAAGCTGATGAATCCTTATTCCCTTCAGCAAGAAATCAACTAATAACATGAAGGAGCTATTTACATAGACTGGGGATTTTTTGGTGTTAACTGCAGTGATGTGTCCATGAGATAACACAGTATCTCACTCCCATCAGAAGCACTACAAGGATATCAAGTCAAGAGGGACTTATTCCTGAGTATCATATTGTAAAGCAGAATCCAGAACTGCATTTATAGTATTTAGGACATAGCTTATCCTCTCTTTTGCTCTCTAGACCCCTGGCATTGAAGTAGAAGGCAAACATAGCTCAATAAAGTCTCATTGTAGTAAAAGGATACCTGACCAAGTTACTCCATCTCATGGGATTCCCACAGGGCAGCCAGGCCACAATCACTGACTGTCCTTATGCTCTCAGGTCTGTGCAAAAACAAGGTCTAAAAGCCAAGTCCTGACAGATCTGTTTATACCCAGTAGCATAACCATGTATCCCAAATGCACAAGGGTACAGAACTGTAGTTACATTTTTATGAAAAGCCTCCCAGAATCATATTGGAAGTGATTTTTCTAAGAGATTCTGGTGTGCATAGTTCAAACCATCAAAACAAAGAAACAAGATTGTCCTACTTGAACACTCAAGAGTGTTCACACAGCAATGAATGATGCACCTTGAATAAACCAGAATTACTCTCAAACTTATTTGGGCATTTAGGGCATTAGTGCTGAAAAGCAACATGACACCAGTGCTAAGAAGACAGAGTTTCAAATGTCCAAACCAGTTCTCCTGTTTTAATACAGTTTTAATGAACATCAGTCCAAGAGATCACTTGATAGTATGAGGTACATTCCTTGACCACATATGGCTGTGCTTAAGGAAAAGGACAAACATATACTTAAATTAAATAGTGTAATTTAATTTAGTAGCATTTTAATCATCATCAAGTTAAAAAAAAAATTATAATTAACTATTAACGTTAATGACTTGAAACCTTTCAGAAAGCATGAATCCAAAAGGAAATATCCACAGGTGGTCACAGACTTGTAGTTCTCCCACCAGCGCTGCCACCTGCACCAGTCTCTTAAAGGACTATTTGTTCAGTGAAGGATTTGGTCTTCAGTCTGTAACTGAAGTCTTGGCTCTGCTACTTTGCATGGTCTTCTAAGAGATACACGATTAACTCGTAGGTGGACAACACAATGGCTGTGTTTGGGATCTGCCGGATGAGCTGGGCAAAGAGTCCTCTGTAGAAGGCCAGGTAACCTTCCTCCCGTGCCACCAGCCGAGCTGTCTGGATGAAAGCCTTGTACTTGGTGCCCTCCTCCCGCAGCCGTGTCCGTATGACCTCTGCAGAGCAGGGAAACAGCGTTAACAGAGCAAACCTTCCACCCTTACAGCTCTCAACAGCTTTTATAACTATAGAGATGGCTCTCTGCTAAGTGTTACTCCCACATTCTCCTAGGAAAGCTGCACACAGTAGGACTATCATGCTAAGAGTGCACACTTGGCTTTGCTACTTCACTAATACATACTCATAATAATTCTTTCAGCTTGAGTTCTATCCAGTCTGTCACAGTTCACACCTATGCTTCAAAAGACAATAAGCACTGAAGAGACACTGCTTTGTGCTAAACCACTGATTCCATTTAAAGCCATCTTCAGCAGGCCAAGAGACAGAGGTCTGCTGCATGAGGAATGATCCTTCATTTTAAGAAACATGCCACTACCAGGAAAGGCCTTGTATGCAAACCCCAGGGACAGGAAAACCTTCCTGTACCAACAGGCTGCCAGTACATCCAGCCATGGAATCCTGGACACAC